TCACAGTGTCTTAATAAATTTCTTGGTTATAATATTCTTCTACTCCTTGCTATAATTTTGGCTTATATCATTGTACACATTTACTACTATTACTTAAGAGACAGTGATATTGTTATTATAAAAGTTGACAAATTTTTAAGGATAATGTGGTCCATGATGTACATAATGTGGTTACAGCGAATAGTAAATGAATCACACTTATTGTCAATTAAGGTGAGGAAAACCACATGATGGTTATTTAGTTTGTAGCATTATACTTTATGTTAGAATAGAATAGAATAAAATAGAAAATAATTTTATTCTGGGACAAAATCCCTTTAGAATAACTGAATAGTACAAAATTAAAATATCACATCTGACCTAAATAAAAATAAAAACAAAAAAGAAAAAGAAAGAGAAAAAAGTAAAGAAAATATTAGTTAAACATACTATATACAAAACAAATAAACCTATATACAAAACACTGAAAAATATGTACAGTGATAAAACATAAGTATAAACTTTTAGGGGGGAAAAATACATTAAATTCTTCTTTAAAATAAATTCTGTTTTTCTGCAAAGAAAAAATAAAGCTGAAAGGTCATGGGAGAAGAGATGGGGTGTATTTTATACTCGTTTTCTGACTTTAACAATAGAATTGGATTTAAATTTTATTTGAAATTTCTGCCACTTACAAGTGGTTTTCTATGTTTTTAAAGTTGGAGACCCCTTCATTTCCAACAAATTTATTTGAAGAATTGAAAATTTTCGTGTGAATAGAGTTGTAAGAAAAGTGTCTTTTCTTTTTTTTTTTTTTTTTTAAATCCGTTACCCAGCAGCAATTCATACTGAATTTAAAATTTAATTTATTATTTATTCAGGGTAAACCTATCATTAACAAAATCTTTACTCATTTTATCAAATGAATTATTATGGCCATTTTTCAGAACTGGGTAATGGAATGCTTTAGCATGAAAATATTTAAAAGATATTACTTTACTTCAACTTTCTTTATTGAATATTAATACATTATGCCACATTGAAGGGCAATTATATTAAGGCTACATGATTCATTCACAAAATATTTACATACAATAAAAGATATTAAAGAGTTAGACTTTGTATTCAAGTCACTTGACTTGAATACAAAGTCTAACTCTTATTAAAAAAAAAAAAAAAACATGTTTTTCTGACTATGGGAATGAATTAGTTTTTGTTTTGTATGTAATTTAATTACTTTTCAAAAGTTTTTATATAAATTATACCCTAAAATATATATTTAGCAAGTCAGGCACCAAAACATTTTTCTTTTCTTTATAATTTTTTTTTCTGAATTTTCTCAGAAATTCAGTACATGTATGAAAATTGAAAGAACATTAATTAGAAAATTATAGGAAAGTTTTATCGAAATTATTATAGTAGCTTTTGTGCTACGGGCTATAGAAAAATATGTTTTTCACTTACTGCGCAGCCACTATCAACCAATTTGTGTCACATGCATCAGTAGTCAAAACCAATGGTTGAAAAAGTCTTTTTTGGACTCAGGGTTTCTCTGAAATGTGATCCGTTGGAAATTGACCAGATCGCAATACTTTCCTTACCTAGTAGAGATAGGGAAAGAAAAAAACAAATTTCAGAATACTTTTTCCCCTTATCAAACATCTTTCTCCATTTTTTGAAAATATAAAACATCATCATGAAAATTTAAATTTCGACTGGGATAAAATACAAACACAATACCAAAAGAAAATATTTGAGTAATGAAAAATCAAGCAGAAGAAATGAACTGATATTTTTAGTGTACAAAGTGGCATGTTTAGGAAGTTAAAATATTATACGGAGAAAGAGCAGGTATTTTATGCATGTAACATCTTAGATCAATACTAATATTTATACTGTATAAATTAAAAATTAAAATAGAGCAGTTTGATGAAATAAGAAACTTCAGTTTTTTTTATATAAGTATTTTAAAATGAACATTCTCTAATATTTCAAGAGTCACATTAAAACTAACTTACATACTTTGATTAGGAAAAAATGTATATTTTGCAGTAATTGTTATCTAATGATGCTTTAATCTTATGAATAAACTCATCCTGGATAAAGAAATTATTTTATTCTGATTAGTTCAAACTTGAATTAGATATTTTAGTCTAAGGATAAGTTGGTCGGTTGTGCAGTCAATAGACACATACTATATATTATAGTAACATGAATATACGCTACTATAGTATATAATACGTGTCAATTTACCGCACTCTTTTGATTAAATTCTCTTTAATATTAATAATAACAGTTATAATTTATAAAAGCATTTTTTATCATAATTACTACAGAGATAGATTTATTGCTCATCAAATAATATCATAACGGAATATAAAATAGCATGAAACAATTGAATTATCTTTTTTTTTTCAGTCTAAAGAGTTTAATATCAGGCTATACACCATTATGATGGAAGAGAAATCTTATTTCTTATGTAACAATGTAAGTAACCATGTCTCATGTAAAATTCTATGAATGAACAAAGTTTTATAACTAAATTATTTAAATTTGAGAAGGAATTGGTCGGTAGTGCGGTCAAATTCAATAATATATATTACAATAATATTTTATTAGTTACAAGATTTTATACTATTTTAATATATAGTATTAAATTTGACCACACCCTCAACCAACTCCTTCTCAAATCATAATAATGGTCAACCATCTGTAAACCATTATAAATTATTTTAAAATTTCCATACATCGTCCAAATAGAGGAACTGTATTCCTTTCAGATTTTGGACTAAACATAATATTGTTAATTAACAAGTCAATAAATTTCTTTTTTTTTTTTTTTTTATGTTAATACTGCTCTTCGTGCATTACAAAACAATTTCTATTCTATTTTTGGACATCATTTATATTCATCAAAATCAATTAAATATCATTCGTAAAACAAAATTTTTAAATTATAAACAAAGATTATAATTTTAAAAGATATTATTTTAAGTAACATTTATCAATATATGAATGTAAACATGAAATTTTTTATATTTTCTGAAATCAAATTATCAATTATACATAATTATTAACAAATAAAATAATGATAATTCTTAAAAGAAAAATTTTTCACCTATTTTTAATTTTAAAAACATAGATAACTAATGCTATCTTTTGGTTAAGTAAGGAACTAACATCTAACCTCCATCTAACGGGAGTAATAGGAACTAAGTTTCTTTTTAATAATTTCAAAACAATTTATTCAGTCACATTTATAATTATTGTTCTTTTTAATCTTGGTGGTATTATTACAGTATCTAATTAGAAAAAAACTACACCTTTTTTTATTTTTAGAATACAGTGTGACATAATCTGCTTGTAGAAGACCATAAATCAAGGGGAAAAAAACAACAAAAATTCCTTTAGAAAAATCGTAATGTAAAATAAATCAAATGAACACTGTTTTAAGCAAAAATAAAACCCAAATAATTCTTTTTGGAATTTGAGTTTCTAGTACCTAGTGCTGCCTCCCTTTTCTTGAATAACGGCCTGTATGCTCATAGGCATACTACGAATAAAGTGGTTATCTGATCTTAAATCTGATCCATTTCATGTACTTGAAGGTCATATGAAGGGTTCTTTGATGACGGATTGATATCCTAAGCTGGTCCCAGAGATGCTTAATAGGATTGAAGACCAAGCTACGAGCTGGCAACTCCAAGGTGAATACACTAATCTCGTCTAGGTAGTCCCATACAAAATTTTCGATGAGCAACCGAGAATTATCCTGCATAAATAGGAAACAGAGAGCAATAAAAGCTGGACCTGACGCACTTGGATGGCCTGAAAAGGGCCTCCTAGCGTACCTTCCTGCCTCCCAGTATATCTGCATTGCCCGCTGAGCCGTTGTTTCAGTCAGCTCTTGGACTCATGCCGTGTATTGCTGGCTTCAGTCGTTTTCAATCAACGCAGTAATCTGAGCTACTGCCCCAAGATCCAAAACCATTTTGCACTCTTAAAAATATTTTATATAAATGAAATACTGTTTTTTATGAAAAAAAATAACACAAAAGCAAAACCAATGAACACACAACTGGAGACAATCTGATTTTAATACTTTTATCATTAATCGTATATAGAATCATAAGATTTTCTCAAAAGGATTTATGTATAATAACCTCTTTGACCCCTCGTATACCTGTTATTACTTCAGGCTCAAAAATATTTCTTAAAAATGCGGTTTTAATGTAAAATTCAAGATGTGCCAGTTTATTTTATCTTTATTAATAATCTGTCTATCGTTACCTAAATATCTGCCCTCACAATTTCTATAGCGAATTTGCTTAATAACCAACTGATCTCCATTTTTTTTTTTTATTATTTAAACGATTTTTTGTATAGGTTAATACCCAATTTTATTTGAGACTATCATAAATTGTATATTTATACATTTTTATATTTTTTAAAAATAAATTATAATCTCAGTCATTCAAACTTATTGCTGCAAAAGATTGTTCATATTAACATAACATTCGGATTGCATAGATTGTTTAGGATAACTATTTATAATAAAATCAATAATTTTCATGTATGATATTTTAATTATATAAATACATTACAATTTAATATTATTTTAATTTCATTGTTAAGAAACTTTGTCTCATGATAATAAAGACAATTTTTCATTTCATTTTATCATTGGCAAACCAAAATGTGACCTCTTTTATCAATGCCTAACATCTTGTGCCTCCTATGGTATATGCAGTTAAAATATAAGTGAAAATTTAACATGCATTGTGTAGTAGAAGGAGAAGAAAATTAATGATGTATACTTTTAATAATTTTCAAATGTTAAAATAAATGGTAATGGAGATTACTTATTTTTGTCGATCATATTGATGTATGATATGCCTATTTAGTACTGTAAGACATAAATCATCTTAAGCAATATGTTATTATGTCAACAATATTGTACATAAAATATCAGTAAATGAATTGAAAATATGAGCTATTAAAATATAATTTTAATTTCCATGTATGTCTATTTTCAAGGAAAAACTATGTCTTCATATTGCCATGAAAAATGAAGCCGTTTTCTCAGCATGCGGATTCTTCAATGTAAACAATTCTTTTATGCATTCCGTAAGACAAAATAAATTATTACATTTTATAATACATGAAATCAATCGCATATACATGTTTCCAATGAATAATAATAGGACCATGATTTCTATAATTACAATAATTAAAATTTTAATCAGTTCTCTTGGAAAGTTTGGATTTTTGGTTAGTTATCTTATTCAGTGGGAAAAAAAAAGAAAATTTACTTTTATGACAAGAATACCATGTTATAATGTTGTTAGTTGACTGTCATGAGAAAATTCAGATGATTGTAAACCCTGAGGTCCAACAAAATTAGTTATAGTGATTAACAAAACAAACAAACAAGTTATTTTTATTTAATCAGGCAATAATTTATTATATTGTTATCTCTTTGGACAATACTCAATATTATTTACATGTTCTCTATTTATTATTTGAATATTATTTCTAAATGTATTTTCTGAAAATATGCCAAAATATCGCCGATATCTAGAGGTGCAGTACAAACCTCATTATTCTTTTCAATAAATTAATAATTTTTCATTTTTTAAACATAAATTTTGAGCAAGCTGGGCCCTAAATCACATATCTTTTAAATTCAATAAAAAAAAGACATCTTCCAGTATAATTTTTTATTTCTGTGCAAACGGTTTCGGTCTTTGAACATTCTGCACCATAACAAAAATCAAAACCAAAGCACTTCTATTTAGGATCACTCGAATTACTTCACACTTTTGAAAGGTAATGGAGTTCGCTTACCATGGATTCCACGTGACAGCTCCAAATGATATGTCAGTGGAAATAAAGAAAAGATTGTCCAATATGAATCGGTGCTACTTTGGACTACTGAAGATCTTTAGAAGTAGACCTTTGAGGAGGCGAACCAAGCATACTTTTTATAACACCTTAATCTCACCTGTTCTCACATACTATTTCCAAAAATGTTGAATAGGACCTAATGATTTTTTGAACAAAATATTTTATGGCAAATTATAGGTCCATTAAGAGTTGTAGAGGGATGGAGGATTAGGAAGAACTGAGAGCTGCACCAAATCTACAAGAAAACTGATGTAAGGTTAAGGTGGGTTGACAGAGTAGTAGGGGACGAGAAAACCCTCCTAGGGGTCATCAACTGAAAGTCGGCAGCACAGGACAGCCGAATTGTGGGGGATTATTAAGGTAGCCAAGACCAACTCAGGGTTGTATCGCCACAGAGATCGGTAGAATTACGCGAAGAATCACATTTAAGCCATCTGCATGTGATTAATTTCAAAGGGTGTTTATCTGCCTAACTAGTTCATATAAATTTAACTTCAAATAATCTATAAATAATATATAATCTATTTGAAAATCATTTTTTTTTTAAATTAATAATCTGTATTATTTTCTGCATCTTCATTCCCATTTTCATTTTTATTTTGTATCATTTAAATAAAATAGCTCTTTCATTCAGAGAGGCAGCAATAATAATTTTTTACGGTTAGCTAAGTATACCTAATATTTTTCAGATTGTTTGAAACACTTATAAATTTTTTTGAAAACTGATATTCAAAATTTTTACCAATGGACTTATTATCATTTTGATTTCTATGTCTTTTTTCTCTCTAACATCACTATGTTGAAACATTGGCTCATATAATAAAAAATCAACTCTTCAATTTGTTTGTTTTGTTAATCATTAACAGATCCCTTATCAAAAAGTAATGTGAAATCTCAAATAAACCTTTTTAATTGTAATCATTTTGTTCTTATTATCAATTAATCAGTGTAATTATTAATAAATATTTTAGAGACTATTTTTACATTTTAGATGGTAGCTGCTGTAACTTCTTACTTGGTCATATTAATACAGTTAGATCGACAGATCTTGGCTTCTAAGCGCATTATATCATCAACAGCTACTACTGCATCAATGTATAATATCACAATAGAGTATCTGCCTTCATCATAATTTTGATGTATGCCATTTAGAAATGATCACGGTTTAACAACAATTTATTTATCTTATCACTCATGTTATAATCTTAGTTTATTTGTGTTTTGTAATATTATGTAATAAAAAATAAATGTTATGTCAAGTTTATGATGAATAAAACATCAATTACATCTGAATGAATAAGGAATCATTATTTCATTCATAATTGTGTATGTAAATAAATTAACTGTTTTGATATCAACCTATGGTGTCTATATATATACTTTGTTATTCAAATTAGTTTTATAAAGTCAGTAGTATAAATCAATTTCAATATATTAATTTGCATATTATATTCCTTATTCATATCAAAGCCCCATGAATATCAGCACACTGACCTCCTTTCACTTTTCCTGAATGGAAGTTCAAGGAAAAAAGGGATCATATTAATATGAGTATAATTTTTCCAATTTTATAAGAGAAAACATTGATTCACATCACATATTTATCATTTTAAAATTTATTCTATTCTTTGACAAATGTATTTCCATTTCTCAGAATAAACTAATAAATTCTGTTTTAAACATTCATAAGTATCAAATTTATAGTAAACATTTTAAATTTTGCAGTATTTTTTTGCTCCTAAGTTTGTATATTTGATATTATTGTTTTCCTTAAAATTTGATCCATACAATTTTATTGAATTTAGTCAAGTAGGTTCAGTACATAAGATACAATACATAAGATGCATTAGAATGATTAAAAACAATTCATGTTCTTAAATAACATAACCATTAAGTTTATGTATATATGATTATTTGAAAGTTTATAATGTTAACTCGGAAAAATACTTTTTTATGAAGATTTCAACTACATATTTGTGATTTCAAATATGTTTATAAGTGCAATAACTCATCAATTGCATCAGAATTACAAAAACTAAGTTCTATGAAAAACATTGTTAAACTAACTATAAGTACACAATGTTTTAATTTCACAACAGAAAATTATTAACTTATTTTAACCTTCAGTAATTAACATACCATATATTCCACTTTGATTCAGCAGTACTGTGAGGTAATTGCTAAAAGTACGCATAATTCGAGGTGAAAAATATTTTGTTTTTCCGTTTTAAGCAGTATCATTGTAACAAATAATTCAATCTTAAGTTACCGAATGCTGGTTGTCTACGAACTAAAATAGCAAAATTTACTAATGATAACTTACATATTTATGTTATAGTTAATTGTTCATAAGTTTTCCATCTGGATGTGCATGATCAAGATCACTCAGGTCACACTTGTAAATGGAGAGTGGGAAATAGCAAGTGTGTTCGAAAATATCAACATCGCTTTTTTAAAAAATATAGATTATTTTAATTGTTGATTTCTGTTGTTATATTATTCAGCTTTAGCATTTTGACGCTTTTAACGTTCCATTTGTATTCCGAATTTAATCAATTTTACTATGGGTGGATTCTTGGCTTTGTAATTATATCAATTCATAGTGTTTGTGCTAAACAAATAGAAAAAATCATGCAAGATTGTAATTATTATCATCTTCAGCCAAAAACATGAAAATGGTTATGTATCCCGTAATAAAACATGAACATTAAGTATAATTTATTTCACACTATTATCTAAATTTATTAGTAGAAAGAAGCGAAGTAAATGAGCGAAAATTATTTCAATCGTGTTAAATTAGAATTTCAGAAGACGTTCTTCTCCGTACTCATTCGGACAAACTCGGATATTTCCAGTACTCCATTACAAGTGTGATCTAAGTGATCTTGATCACGGTCATTCAGAAGGAATACTTGTGAACTAGTACCTACTGTTTAATACTGTATCACCACTTATCCTTGGACTCGCCTTCCGTAAACGATTTATATTTCGATTATTTCTCAAAACTCGCTAGCGGATCCAGGATTTAATTTTTTTTTTTTGGGGGGGGGGGGGAAAGGTTGGGGCTTTAGCCTTAAAGTTTTTTTTTCATATATATATATATATATATATATATATATATATATATATAATGATAATTACTTTAAAAAAAATAAAGATACTAACTACCTACATGAAATAGAGTTCAAGCGATTCTAAAATTCCTTTTAAATGAAATTACACGAACAATAAGAGATAATTTTTAATATTTTTTACCATAAAACATGGTTACTTTTTACCATTTTGGGGGGGAGGGGAGAGAGCTTCAGCCCGAAAGCCTACCCCGTAGATCCGCCTGTGTCAAAACACCATTCTTCATGACTAGAGACCGGATTTTAGCGCAGTAAAAAACTCAAAATCGTGCAAAACAGTGCCGTAAAAATATTTAAAATTGTGTAATTAACACCTAGTCATCAATATTAAATAAGTCAACAATATTATTTAATTTATAACATTAGTACATCGAAATATCATCAGATCTTCAGTTAATCGATAGTTTTTTAGGGAAAAAAAAATTGAAATGTTATATTGAAAAGAAAATTTCAGATTATAATCACCCATTATAATAACGATTATTATCAAATAATGCAGAACATTGAAGGTTTGAAGGAATAAATGAAGTCAGAAATTATAGGTACCTATATATTATATATACCAGACCAAATTTGGACATTTAACTTTTATTAAAAATAATAATAAAATATAATTTTTTAATATGCTTGAAATTTCCAATATCATACATTCCAAAACGCTTTTGTTAAAATTTAAAGAATTTAAAAAAAAAATTGAAATAGACTGTAATGTTTGAGATTTTCAAGTGTTCAAGTAGTGTTGAATCTGTTCTTCTGTATTGCTAAAAAAATATTTTTGGGGATTACGTTCTCAAACTCCTCAAAAAACGAAAAAAAATATTTTTAAATTCTTTTATAAGAATATTTTTTTCATACATGTTTCACAATGAGCATCTATCAGTGATTTCCCATCACCTGGTTGATTTTTCATAAGGTGTATAAAACTTTGTCATCCAATTCTTTGTCCTCACATTTCAAATCGTGGTATTTTTATATCCAGATTTAATTTTTACCAGAGACTAGTTTTTACTTTCAGCATTATCAATTTTTTTTTTTATAATGAAATTTCTACAAATCAATTTAAAGCCAGAAGAGATACTAAAGGGTTAAATGGTGAGTGAGAATTCAAGTCAAAACAATAAATATAAATGTGTTACTAACAAATCAGCTAGGAAAGCAGCTTTTTATTACCCAATACTTTAGGCAAGTTCTATTCCAAGAATAGATCTCACTTGTGTTTACTTCTTCTTTAGTAATTAATCCGATTTTTGCTTCACACAGGATCATTTGCCTTCCTCACATTTTTCTATTACGAATAATAATTTTAATTTGAACACTATAGTAAAATAAAAAGTAATAGTAAGAAAATAGTAAAATAATAAATATTAACACACTCACTTATACATTTGTATTTATAAATCGTCTAATTAAGCACAAAAGTACAAAAATGTGCAATTTAATGCAACAAAAATAAAAACCGTGCAATTTCGTGCAATATAAAATTTAAATATGTTATTCTACAGGTTCTGAAACGGATAGATATCCGGGCCCGAAGTTTTTACATGCAAGCGAATAAAAAGTGCAATAACATGGAAATCCGGTCTCTATTCATGACTATATGACTTTTACAAAGTACTAGCGTATCCAGGATATAATTTTGGACGGGCTTAAGCCCCTTCGCTTTTTTTAAAAATATATAAAGATAATTACTTTGCAAGAAAAAGAAAGAAACTACCTTTATGAAATGGTGTTTAAGTGATCTTGAAGTCATATTAAAACACGAACAATAATACTTTTAGAGATTTTTTTTCATTCAAAAATATGGTTATTTTTAACCATTTTTTTTTTGGGGGGGGGGGAGGAGCTTCAACCCGAAAGCTCCCCCTTCCCGTATATCCGCCTGTGCTACCAAGGCCAGGTCCTCCCAATCGTGACATCACACCAGTGGAGGTAAAGCAAGAAACGTTTCGGCCGTGCAGGCTTTATTTCTCAACCCACAATGGGCCATTTTTTTTGTAATCTCAAGAGTAAATCTACTCCATACCCCAAATGTCCCTGATAATCTAGTGATATATCACTCAAGTTAGTTCAACTTTACATCTACAACGAAATCCAGAATTCAGTCATTTTATAAACTATTCTATAATAGAAAGGATAAATATAGCTTCTTTTATTTATCTATGCTATCATTTTCTAAGATTATTCTATTAGGAACATTCTTATATCCTTGTAGTGTTACACTCTGAGTATATTTAGCAAATGATAATGTATTAAAATATGACAATATATCACATAATAGATATATTAGGTGCAATTGAAGAAAATTTTTAATAATGGAGCTTATAAATGTCCTTGATGTGACAGAATGTAATATTTCTAAATAAACAAATATAAAAAAAAAAAAAATAATGGAGCAGCCTAAAATCAATATAATTAGTAAGGTTTATCTTATTTTGATGGTCCTGATGAGTGAGTTTTTATATTGATGAAGATGACCGAAATTCAAAAATATTTTGCACAAGGTTTAGCTGCATTTAAATGCGCTTCAAAAACTTCTTGTAATAGCCTAATAGACAAGAATTTCTTTCCGAAGTTGAACGGTAAGTGAAAGTTGTGTGATGCGCGCACCATCTCTAAAACATTTATAATAATTGAAAATTTAAAAATCAGGATATTACTTTCACTTACCTATATATGAAATATATAGTAAAGGAAAGTATTGCGATCGTGAAAATTTTTGAATCTCAGTTTTCAACGGAAATACAATTTTTGAGGTCCCCTGAGTCCAAATAAGCAAGTCCCGCAAAATGGTCTAGCTCAAAAATGAAAAGTCGTACAAAAGTGAAATTGCATATTTAAGGTTTTTATATGCTTAGGATGTCACAGTAACTTTTTCGTCAAAATAGACTGACCGGAAGTGGCATTTTATATCGTGGACTAAATACATTTTTACAATTTTCTCAGAAACGGCTGTAACGATTTTGATCAAATTCATTATATAAGTGTAAACTTAAGCAGTTTT